GTTGGAGGCTGCCTGTCTTTATTATTTTTCCTATAACAGAGAGAGGGTCAAAAAGCTGGCCTACTGTGGCTTTTATCTTCTTCCAACTGTGATTCTTTGAGTTAAGTAATTAGTTTTGGATTAAGTGGTTAAATATCCTAAGTTAAAAACTTTTCTCTTTGTAATTTTAAATAGATTGAAACATTGATTTTTGAGGTTTAACCATGTCGACTCTAATATTAAGAGATAAGCGATAAAAGCCTTTTTTTCTAGACTGAGTCACAGATTTGCTACTTATTTTCTAAGCAGTAACGTTTTACTTAGGATTCTGTTTTTGTTATAAGATGGTATTAGAGAACCTATTTATCACAAAAGGATTTTGGGTACTAATTGGACAATGTACCTAAAACCTTCAGACTTCTTATATTTTATATAAATTTGTTACTCTGTTCTAAAAATTGCTGTATTAAAATAGCAGATAACTACCAGCTTTTCACCAGGAATTGTACATTTGTGTTGAGCTTCTGTAGTATGAGTTAGCCTCTCGATACCTGATGGCGTGCCTCTCTGGTATCACAGTTAAATGGCAAAGTACTTCCAAAGTTGTGTCTTATGAATATAGTGTGCTCTACAAACAGGGTTTCTGGGGAATGAAGATAGGCATAGAAGTTGAAACATTTTTGCTTCTCATCCTCCTTATTCCAGCTTAAGCATTAACTAAATCCTGTTAATTCGTTTTTCATCACTTTCTGTTTTCTATAGGATTGGCCTGTTTCCATTCCCACTGCTACCATCTTTTCTAGGTCCTTATCATGCGTTGGGATGATTATTGTGGTCTTACATAAAGACTCTTTGTATTGGGAGTCCCCAGGGTTCAAGACCATCCCCAGGTTCAGTGATTTGCTGGGAGGTCTCATGGCCATGATTTATTACAGTGAAAGGATACAGAGCAAGATCAGCACAGGGAAAAATGCGTGGGCAAAGTCCATCGGAAACCAGACACAGGCTTCTAAGAGTCTTCTCCCAGGGAGGGTCTCACGGAATGTGCTTAATTACTCCAGTATCAAATTATGGCAGCATGTGTGAAGTGTTGCCTACCAGGGAAGTGCAGTGCTCAAGGTTTTTATTGGGAGCTGGTGACATGAGCACCCTTTGCCAAACAGGTACCAAAATTCAGACTTGCAGAAGGAAAGCAAGTGTTTAGCATAAACCACATTACAGTCTGGGTACTATATGAGCCACTCTTACCCTTTAGGAAAAGTTTTAAACCTTTTTTTGCATACTGCTTCTCTCTGCAGTCTCTCTCCTATATTGCTGTCACTTAACATTTAAGGAATGATGGGTTACTGGGAGTTGATTATGCAATTCTGTCTACTTTTGTTTATGTTTGAAATTTTGTATAATCAAAAGTTTAAAAATATTTAAAGATTCTGTTTATCATACTGTTTCATTTTTCAGAGTCTTTTATTTCCTTTCTGACTATAGAATAAAATCTAAGCTTCTTAGTCTAAAACTTAAGATTATAGATCCAATCTTCTTGTCTAGTCTTATTTCCTATATTTCTGAGTATGACTCTTCTACTCTTGTCCCTACACCAGCCAGACTAGTATATTGTCTCTCTGTAATTCGCCTTTTACATTCCTGTAGTTCTCCCTTCTAGAATGTGTATTCAAATCTTACCATTCTTCAAAGCTCAACACAGGTTCTTCCTTTTCTGTGTAGTTTTCCTAATAATTTAAACCCATGATGATTACTGTTTTAAATTTATTCTTTTTTTTTGTATTTGGAGTTTAATATATATTGCCTTGTGTTGTAACTTGCTTTGTGTGTAAACCTTGTCTCTTCAACTAGATCCATTATTTTTTCAGCCAGCCAGCTGACCAACCAGCCAAAAAACATAATTGAGTGATACCTGTTTTTTGTTTTTTTGGTTTTATAATTTTATTTGATGTATCTGACAATTAGTAGTTAGTTCTCATCCACATTGACTGTAGATTTTTGAAAGTGGTAACAGGTACATACGTAACCAAAGTGTAGAGCTTGTTTGGTGAATCTTCATCCTCATTACCTTTTCTGGACAACTGCACACAGATACGGTATGCGATGTTCCTTATTCCCTTGGCCCAGATGGCTTTGTTGAGCCTGGTGTCAGTGAGCACATCTGGAGTTCCCATCTTCTTCATGGCAAATTTCCAGATCTCTTTGAGTACCTGCGGGGCACTCTTCTTGAAGCCCACACCATGGATGCGCTTGTGAATGTTGATGGTTTATTCTCGGGTCACCACCTCATTGATGGCAGAACAGCTCTTCTTCTCGCCACTCTTCTTTGGGGGAGCCATTCTGCCAGGCCCAAGTCGGAAATGAGGAGCGCGAGGGATTGTGGGAGAAGGAAAGCAGCCGAGTAATATGTTTGTTTATTTATTTTTAAATTTTTTTTTATTTCAGCATATTATGGGGGTACAAACGTTGAGGTTACGTATATTGCTCTTTCCCCACCCAAGTCAGAGCTTCAAGCATGTCCATCCCCCAGACAGTGCACATTGCACCCATTATGTGTGTATATACCCATTCCCTCCTCCCCCCTCCCATCTGCCCGACACCCGGTGAATGTTATTAATATATATGCACTTAAGTGTTGATCAGTTAATACCAATTTGATGGGGAGTACATGTAGTGCTTGTTTTTCCATTCTTAGGATACTTCACTTAGTAGAATGGGCTCCAGCTCTATCCAGGAGAATACAAGAGGTGCCATATCACCATTGTTTTTTGTGGCTGAGTAGAACTCCATGGTATACATATACCACATTTTATTAATCCACTTATGTATTGATGGGCACTTGGGATGTTTCCACATCTTTGCAATTGTGAATTGTGCTGCTATAAACATTCAAGTGGAGATATCTTTTTTATAGAATGTCTTTTTTTCCTTTGGGTAGATGCCCAGTAAAGGGATTGCTGGATCAAATGGTAATTCTACTTGTATCTCTTTGAGGTTTCTCCATATTTCTTCCCACAGAGGCTGTACTAGTTTGTAGTCCCGCCAGCAGTGTATGAGTGTTCCTATCTCTCTGCATCCACACCGACATTCATTGTTTTGGGACTTTTTGATAAAGGCCATTCTCACTGGAGTCAAGTGATACCTGATTGTGGTTTTGATTTGCATTTCCCTGATGATTAGAGATGTTGAGCAGTTTTTCATGTTTGTTAGTCATTAGTTTATCTTCTTTTGAAAACTTTCTGTTCATGTCCTTTGCCAACTTTTTGATAGGGTTGTTTGATTTTTTTTCTTGCTGATTTTCCTGAGTTCTATATAGCTTCTAGTTATTAGCCCTTTATCAGATGTGTAGCATGGGAATATTTTCTCCCATTCTGTAGGTTGTCTGTTTGCTCTCATGATAGTTTCCTTGGTGCAGAAGCTTTTTAATTTGATCAGGTCCCATTTATTTATTTTGGTTGTTGCTGTGATTGCCTTTGGGGTCTTCTTCATAAATTCTTTGCCTAGGCCAATGTCTATAGGAATTTTTCCAACATTTTCTTCTAGAATTCTTATAGTTTCATGCCTTAGGTTTAAGTCTGTTATCCACTATGAGTTGATTTTTGTGAGAGGTGAAAGGTGCGGATCCTGTTTCAGTCTTCTACATGTGGCTATCCAGTGGTCCCAGCACCATTTATTGAATAAGGATTCTTTTCCCCAGTGTATGTATTTGTCTGCTTTGTCAAAGATTAGATGGCTATATGAGAATGGTTTTATGTCTGGGTTCTCATTTCTGTTCCATTGGTCTATGTTTCTGTTCTTGTGCCAGTACCATGCTGTTTTAGTTACTATAGCCTTGTAGTATAGCTTGAAGTCTGGTAAATTGATACGTCCCAATTTGTTCTTTTTGCTTAAGATTGCTTTTTCTACATGGGGTCTTCTCTGGTTCCATATGAAGTGTAGAATTATTTTTTCTATATCTGTGAAAAATGATGTTGGTATTTTAATAGGGATTGCACTGAATCTGTAGATCACTTTGGGTAATATAGACATAATACATATTTAAATCTTTTTGTTTTCTTTTCTTAGCCTATGAATGTAGGAATAGTATCTCTTTGTTATTTCTTATTGGAATTCCTAGTTAACCTTATGCTGGACTTTCTTAGTCTATTCTCCATGACTCTTAATTATACTTTTGTATTTTCTCTATCTCTGTGATACATTGTGGATAATTTCTTCAGATCTCTCTTGGAGTTCACAAATCCTCTCTTCAGCTTTGTAACTGGCTGTTTAACCCTCTTACTTTGAGGGTTTTTTTTAAAAACCTTTTATTATAGAAACTATTCCAAATATTTAAAAGTAACACAGTAATGAACTTCGCCCTGCCTCAGTACCTGGCATCTAGGTTCAGTTACCAGCCTTCTAATAGAAGATAGTTGGATTCTCATTTCTGCTTCTGCATTCAGTCTGTTGTGATATCACATAGCATGTTTCTTCTGGAAAATTCACTACACACTTTCAAGAATATTAGTGAAAAAGGCAAATAACACTTTAGAATTGTGAAAATAGTTTGACATCATGGATCCTATGGACCCCACTTTGAGAACTGCTCTCCATAAAGATGATAAGCACTTTAAGCCACTATCTTATGTGGCGTCAGGGATGATGTTTTGAACTTAGTTTCCAGTGCCTATATCCAGTTGGAAACCCCTGTGATAACTCTAACAGCAGCTTCCTTTTTCATTCTGGTTTTGCCTCCTCTCTGTTTCTGGAAACTGGAAATTCCTTTTTATTTTGAGTTGAGCTATGAAGTTTTTTTGTTATTGTTATAATTTATGCAATATTTCTAGATATGTTTGTAGGTAGGAGTGGTAGTAGTGACTTTCTGTTCATCAGTCTACATTGTTGTCACAAATTCAGGATTATGTATCTTATTATGTTTTGTCTTCACAGTGTCTAGCACCATGCTATAAAGAAAGTAATAATCATTTTGGGACATTATGCTACTGAGGATACAGTAGAAATAAAATAGTTACCTGTTAACATGGGTCTCACTGTTTTACCGGTAGGCTGGGGAGTAATAAGCAGCTTTGTTCATGTGCTCTGGAGCAAACCAGAGGTATCTGAAATAAAGGGAAATCTAAATAGACACTACAGAGGAGATAGGATTAAATATTTAGTTATATGAGTTACATGTTTTGGAGAACAAAGAGCACAGATTATATGGACTAGTTTATTGTAAATACTATAAAATTTTTACCTTTTTTGGAAGATTCCCTTGACATTTCTGTTGAGCACTTGTCATTTCTGATCTTTCATTTACAGTTTCTTTTTTTCTTTTATAGGAATATGCACTTTCTGGTTGGAATTTGAATAACATGCCTGTCCTGGAGCAGTCTGTTCTTGCGCATATTAATGTGGACATCTCTGGTATGAAAGTGCCCTGGCTCTATGTGGGAATGTGCTTCTCTTCTTTTTGTTGGCACATTGAAGATCACTGGAGTTACTCCATCAACTACTTGCACTGGTATGTGCAGTCTTCAATATAGCACACATACTTAGTGACCTTTTTAAAGATGTAATAATATTAGGTGATATGTTAGGGAGAACTGACTTTCTGAAAGCATTTCCTACTTAAAAGTAGGATAATATATTGGGAAGAGAAGAGGGGAGGCTTCTTAGGACACCTTCTCTTTTAAAATAGGTACTAGTAGCAGAGCCTAGAGTTTTAGATCAAATGATGCTTGCTTAGTATACATGAAAATTATTTTGGTACAGTTGTCCACCCTTATCCACAGAGAATAAATTCCAGGATCCCCAGTGGATGCCTAAAACTGCATGTAATACTGAACCACGGCTGGTATGGTGGCTCATGCTTGTAATCGTAGCACTCTGGGAGGCCGAGGAGGGAGGATCGCTTGAGATTAGGAGTTCGAGACCAGCCTGAGCGAAGGCAAGCCCCCGTCTCTACTAAAAATAGAACAAATGAGTTCCGGCCAGGTGAGCCGGGAACAGAGATGACGGAGGGTTGAGGCCAGGGCTTCCCTTTTAGACTATGGCAACATATCTGGAATTTATTCAGCAGAATGAAGAACGGGATGGTGTGCATTTTAGTTGGAATGTGTGGCCTTCCAGCCGTCTGGAAGCTACGAGAACGGTTGTTCCCCTGGCTTGTCTCCTTACTCCTTTAAAAGAACGTCCAGACCTCCCTCCTGTACAGTATGAACCTGTGCTTTGCAGCAGACTAACTTGCAAAGCTGTTCTCAATCCACTTTGTCAGGCTGATTATCGAACAAAACTTTGGGCCCGTAATTTCTGTTTCCAAAGAAATCAGTTTCCTCCAGCTTATGCAGGCATATCTGAGATGAATCAGCCTGCCAAACTGATGCCCCAGTTTTCTACAATTGAGTACATGATAGAGCGAGGTGCTCAGTCCCCTCTGATATTTCTCTATGTGGTCGACACATGCCTGGAGGAAGATGACCTTCAGGCACTCAAAGAGTCCCTGCAGATGTCCCTGAGTCTCCTTCCTCCAGATGCTCTGGTGGGCTGATCACATTTGGGAGGATGGTGCAGGTTCACGAACTAGGCTATGAAGGAATCTCCAAAAGTTATGTCTTCCATGGGACCAAGGGTTTAACTGCAAAGCAAATACAGGATATGTTGGGCCTGACCAAGCCGGCCATGCCCATGCAGCAAGCGAGACCTCCTCAACCACAGGAGCACCCTTTTGTTTCCAGCAGATTTCTGCAGTCCATTCACAAGATTGATATGAACCTCACTGATCTTCTTGGGGAGATGCAGAGGGGCCCATGGCCAGTAACTCAGGGGAAGAGACCTTTGCGATCCACTGGTGTTACTCTGTCCATTGCTGTTGGCTTGTTGGAGGCAGTTTTCCAAACACGGGAGCCAGGATTGTGCTGTTTACTGGTGGTCCCCCTACCCAAGGGCCTGGCATGGTGGTTGGAGAGGAATTAAAGATTCCTATTCGTTCCTGGCATGATATTGAGAAAGATAATGCACGTTTCATGAAAAAGGCAACTAAGCACTGTGAGATGCTTGCTAATCGAACTACTACAAATGATCACTCCATCGATACTTATGCTTGTGCCCTTGACCAAACTGGGCTTTTGGAGATGAAGTGTTGTGCAGATCTTACTGGAGGCCACATGGTAATGGGAGATTCTTTCAACACTTCTCCCTTCAAGCAGACATTCCAAAGGATTTTTAGTAAAGATTTTAATGGAGATTTTCGAATGGCATTTGGTGCTACTTTGGAAGTAAAGACCTCTCGGGAACTGAAGATTGCGGGAGCCATTGGTCCATGTGTATCTCTGAATGTGAAAGGACCATGTGTGTTGGAAAATGAGCTTGGTGTCGGTGGCACGAGTCAGTGGAAAATCTGTGGCCTGGATCCCACACCTACACTTGGCATTTACTTTGAAGTAGTCAATCAGCACAACTCTCTGATCCCCCAAGGAGGCAGAGGCTCCATCCAGTTTGTCACTCAGTATCAACACTCCAGCACCCAGAGTCGCATCCGTGTGACCACCATTGCCCAAAATTGGGCAGATGCGCAGAGTCAGCTCGGGCACATAGAAGCAGCATTTGACGAGGAAGCCGCAGCAGTCTTGATGGCACGGCTGGGAGTATTCTGAGCAGAGTCAGAAGAGGGGCCTGACGTGCTCCGGTGGCTGGACTGACAACCCATCCGCCTGTGTCAGAAGTTTGGACGTATAACAAAGAAGACCCCACTTCTTGTAGGTTATCAGATTCCTTTTCTCTGTATCCTCAGTTCATGATCCATCTTAGAAGATCTCCATTTCTGCAAGTGTTTAACAACAGCCCCGACGACTCGTCCTATTACATGTACCATTTTGCCCGCAGGATCTGGCCCAGTCCCTCACCATGATCCAGCCCATTCTCTACTCTTATTCCTTCCAGGGGCCTCCAGAGCCAGTACTCTTGGACAGCAGCAGCATTCTAGCTGACAGAATTTTGCTGATGGATACTTTCTTCCAAATCGTCATTTATCTTGGGGAGACCATAGCCCAGTGGCGTGAAGCTGGGTACCAGGACATGCCCGAGTACAAAAATTTCAAGCACCTCCTGCAGGCACCACTGGATGATGCTCAAGAAATTCTACAGGCGCGGTTCCCAGTGCCACGTTACATTAACACAGAGCATGGTGGCAGTCAGGCTCAATTCCGTTTGTCCAAAGTGAACCCATCTCAGACACACAATAACCTGTATGCCTGGGGACAGGAAAGTGGAGCGCCCATCCTAACTGACGATGTTAGCTTGCAGGTGTTCATGGATCATTTGAAGAAACTTGCTGTCTCCAGTGCCTGTTAACCCGAGCATGTGACCAGGAAATTGAAAAAAACACTGTGTTCACAATTGTTTATAAAGGCTTAATAACATTCCTTTTACTTTTCTGGCAGATTTTAATAAATAATCAAAGAAAATTTTGTATGTTAACTCTTAAGGTGATAATTTATTTGTATGCCTTAACCTGTGTCCCTTGCACCACAAAATTATAAGGTCATAAATGTATTGGTACTTATAGATGTTTATGTCCTTTTTGTATCCTAACTTGTAGAGTTTAAATAAAATCAGAGGTAATGTATTTTCGTAGCTTGTTTAGGCGAGCATCTTAATGATTATAAAACAAATAAACCTGGATGAGGAAAATACTGGCTAAAAAAAAA